GAATTGTCAACTATATCCACGAATAGCCATTCATAGCCATTTGAAGCCAGTCTGGTAAAAAGTATATGGTAATAGCCAAAACTAGCCACATGAAGCCATTTCAGTTTGTGGACAAAAAAATAGCAGCTAATTATAAATACTAGTCACTTTAAGCCATTTGTAGCCAATTCAAGCCACCCAAGTCAGAAACTGATGATTATAGCCAATAATAGCCAATCCAAGCCAACCAAGTCAAGAACAGATGCCTATAGCCAATACTATCCAGTTGAAGTTATTCAAATCTATACACACTCCAATTGCATAAATTGCCAATAATAGTCGCTGATAGACATATATAGCCATTTCAAGCCGATTTAGCTAAGAACTGCCCATAGCCAATAATAGTAGACACTTGAATCCATTCATATTCAAAACATCATGAATACCATGTCACTAAATGTCACCAATGTTCATTCTGAAGCGATTTAAGGTGATATTGTTAAGATGATATGCAATTGCTAACAATAGCCACTTGAAGCCATTTTCATTCATAAGTATAGAATAGCAGAATATTGCAACCAATAAGCACTAATAGCCATTTTTTGGCAATTCTTGCCAACCAGGTCAATAGCAGATGCATATAGCCAATAATAGCCATTGGAAGCCAACTCAGCCTGCAAAAAATCAAATAAGTCGAAATAGTGACTGATCATCATTGATAGTCACTAGAAGTCATTTCGACCCCAAATCCGCCATATAATTTATAAGCATGATAATATAGCCAATAATAGCCATATAAAGCCAAATCAGTCTGCACACAATTAGGTAAGTCGAAATAGTGACTAATAGCCATTGAAAGTATCTAGAAGTCATTTGGACCCTCCGAATCTGCCATATAAATAAAAAAATATGATTGTATAGCCAATAGCAGCCATTGGAAGCCAACTGAGCCTGCATAAAATCAAATAAGTCGAATTAGTGACTCATAGTGATGGATAGTCACTACAAGTCATTTGGACCCCAAGCCCACCTTATAAATTTATAAACATAATCATATAGCCAATAATAGCCATATTAGGCCAACTCAGTCTGCACACAATCAGGTAAGTCGAAATAGTGACTAATAGCCAATGATAGTCACTAGAAGTTATATGAACCACGAATCTGCCATATAAATTATTGTATAGCCAATAATAGCCATTAGAAGCCAACTCAGCCCGCACACAATTAAATAACTCAAAATTGTGACCAATAGTCATTAATAGTCAGTATAAGTCATTTGAACTCCGAATCTGCCATATAATTTATAAATATAATCGTATAGTCAATAATAGCCGTATGAAGCCAATCAGTCTTCACACAATCAAATAACTCAAAATAGGGACTGATAATCATGGACAATCACTAGAAGTCATTTGGACCCTAAATCTGCCATATAATTATAAATATGATTGTATAGCCAATAGTAGCCATTGGAAGCCAACTCAGTCTGCACACAACAAATAAGTTGAAAAAATGATCTATAGTGATTGATAGTCACGGAAGTAATTTGGACCCCAAATCTGCCATATAATTTATAAACATGATCACATAGCCAATAATAGCCATATGAAGCCAGCTCAGTCTGCACACAATCAAATAACTCAAAATAGTGGCCAAAAGTCATTAAAAGTAACTAGAAGTCATTTGAACTACATATCTATCATGTCAAATTTTGATCAAAAAGCCAAAATTAGCCATTGAAAGCCATCTCAGGCCACGTACAATCAAATAACTCAAAATAGTTACAAATAGTCATTGATTGTCATTAAAAGTCATTTGGAACGGAAATCCGCCAAAAATTAGGAAATAAAATCAAATATCAAATAATAGTCATTCAAATCCAATCTGAGACATAGCATTACAAATATCACGAAATGGTCACTAATCGTCATTAAAGTCTATCACAAATGGAACTACCTAATAAACAGCTGCTTGATCTATATGCCCCGAAATAGCTTAGGATATTGGCCCAGAGCCATTAATAGCCCTTGGAAGGCAATCTAGTTTATACTCGTTCAAATAACTCAGAAATATAATCCAATAGTAATTGCAGTCATTAGAGGCTAACCAGGCCCCCAAAACGACAGGTAAAACTGAACCGGACACTATTTCTACTTCCTTATAAATACTGACTCTTCGTTAAACAGCCAGTGTAGCATTTACTGGCTGTAATTACTACGTCGTGTAGCATTTCCAGACTCATTGGAAGTGACTCTCATGCAATTTAAAATAATGAACCGTGGAGCAATTACATATCTGAATTGCTGTGCTTTATTTCTAACTGCAAAGAGCCAGTCATTACAGCTAGTAACAGCCATAGCCTTTAGAGTGGTCCATAAACTTTCAATTTACTAGAAAGTCACTAATTGCCAGTAGGTCATTTGTACCAGGTGTAATACATAGGTCTATATAATCTAAATACTTAGTACTAATATGAAGCGCACCTCATTATAAGAAATATCATGTATCAGCTCTTGCCCAACTGAAATCGGCACACCGATTTGCCATATATTCACAATTCCTGATAGTGTGAAGAGAAGAAATAGTGTACTGAATGACGGTTTTCCTTTTAATTTCGAGCGCATAGTTTACCATCCCACACCGAGAGATGGCAGCACTTCTGTGTCTCCCGACAACCCCATGTATTTTGGCTCGAGTTTCCAGTATTGTTAGTCAATGGTATTTGCTTTTGCCTTGGACATTCTAAATGCGCGGGTCATCCAGATTTTCGTAACTGGTGCGAGTTGCAACAATAAAAAATTCTCTAGCTAGTGCTGCGCGTCTTGGTCGTCTCGGTTCTTTGTGGGCCTATATCAAAATGTAATCGACAAAAAAAGCTGCTTGAAGCTCTGTACTTTTTTCACCTATTGCGTTTAAGCTGGGTACATTTTCTTGTGATTATATTTCTATTACGTTACTAAAGCCTCGCACGCTCACTCCCAAATGTGCGATTCAAAATGAAAATGAGATACCCAGAAACCCGTTGCAGGTGCCCTGAAGTCGCTGACGCAAATTTTGAGGAATGTATTTGGAAAAGTATTTAAGGGAGAACCAAATACATTTGGTTGTATTTGTATTTTGTAATTAAATGCTTTTTTCGAAATGTAACTAGATTTGTAATTAAATACATTTTTGACGAAGTATTTTGTATTTGTATTTCGATACATATTTGCATGTATTTTGCCCATCCCTGGGTGAGAAGTATATACCTTAATACTAGAAATTGTCAACGTGATCAAACAAGTGGCTGCCCAGATGATAGTTTGATAGGAGAGGCTTACTTTTTCTGGTAAATTGAATTAAACAACACTTTTTGTTTCATTTAAACTCATTTTCCACCTGTCACACCATGCTAAGACAAGATTTAAGTCATGCCGGAGGGCTACGACATCTGATGCATTTTGAGCAGTATGGCAAATGACACAATCATCTGCATAAAGCTTCATATTAGATGATATTCCGTCTGAGATATCGTTAATATAAATGAGAAAGAGCAAACGCCCCAAGACCGGACCTTGAGGGACTCCTAAGGTTACTTCGACGTAAGATGACGTCACACCCTTAACATTGACACTGTTTTCTACCGGACAAGTAGTTTTCCAGCCATCCAAGAACATTTGCAGGTAATCCCAGAAACAACAATTTATGCACAAAAAGGGAATGTGGAATGGCATCAACAGCCTTCTGAAAATCTAAAAATAACGAATCATCCTGAAAACCTTATCACATGAAGCCAAAACGGGGAGTTTTAGAATAGCGCACGCTCAAGCTTTGCGTGCGCAAAGAATAGCGTCGTCGCCACTGCGCATGCTTCAAATGCAAATCAGATTTTGCGCTTTGCGTGCACAATTTTAGCGTGCGCTATTTCTCGGAAATAGCGTGCGTACGCAAGGAGTCTTTGCGCTTCTCCAAGGAGGATTCGTGATGACAAGTTGGTTAAAGCCAAGAGGAGCAGAGTTAAAAAAAATGGCGGCTTCCAGGATTATGTTGGCGGCCACTTTGGCGGCGTCGGGAGTGGACGTCGGCGGCATCCTCGCGACTGCAATTTTCAATACGGGGCGACATTGTACTCGGTTTGGCAACGATCACCGGCAACTTGCAACAAGCTTGTTGGCAACGTGATGCTTGCGACGCGCGAACATTTCTCGGCGAAGGTGCGATGGCCTGTACACAAGACCTCTCTTGCCGAGGCGAGGCAAGCGGACACGACCGGGGAACCGCTCGTGTCGCATTCTCATGTTTAAACAAATCTAAAATGCTACTCTGGACCAAAAAACTTTTTTTTTCTAAACTTGCAGCATTTCGTCTGTGAAATAAAAATTGTTACTGTATCTTGGTGGCGTCGCAAGTGCGAGATGCTTGGGCTTTTGCGTCGCGACGGAGAAACGCTTTTCTAAAACTCTCTTGCGTCGCGTGCGCTAATACAAGAGCTAAATTTAGCGTTTGCGTGCGCTAAAATTGCGTACGTTATTCTAAAAGTCCCTAATGTCGTGGGTGACCTCACTCAACTGGGTAACACAGGAGAAGCCCGATCTAAAGCCATGTTGGTAAGCTTCTAGATGTTTCATGTTAAAATAAACAATATATTCCAAGGTTTTACAGCACACACTCATGAGTGAGACAGTCCTATATAGTTCATGGCACAGTTTTTAGAACCTGATCTGTGTATTGGAACAACATTGGCAGTCTTCCATTCGCAGGGAGTTAATTGTTTTATAATGATTTATGAAACAGCATAACCAGAAAGGGTGTCAATGCACGGGCACAAATCTTTAAGACATGATTCGAAACACCGTCTGTTCCGGGCGCAGCACTCGGAACTAAGCCCTGTAGTAAGGAAAACTCACCGTCCTCTGAAATAACGTCGGACATAGCCTCAGAATCGAACCCCGATGCAGATGGCATTACACCGTTATACACTTGATTCAATCACCAACATTTCATTCAATCCCCGGCATTTGATTCAATCCCCTTTGCAGCTGGAAGCAGCTTGTCTCCTTCCTGGGCGTGGTCATTGGCTACTTTGTGGCCGTGAAGGTCTTTGACCACGAGAAACTCCAGTGTGGCATGAACCCTCCAGTGGTGAGTGGCGCCGGCGTGCACTTGGGAGTGCCGCTCAGAGATTTGCACGAGCGGGAAGCACACATATCTATCTCTGCGAGAAAGCACGAGGGCATTTGCACTTGGGGCAGACCATACTGATTAGAACGCCTGTTCAGATGTGTGTTTGTCTATGTGGAGTGCGTTGTGATTTCTCGTCGCAGCCGGCACACTGGCGCCGTCCGTCGGGTAGACCTGAAACCACCCCGAACTCGTATCCAACTATACTATACACGCCGCGTCGAGAAAGAAAAGGAAGTTTTGCGTGCAATTTGTGTGCCGCACAAAGTAGCTCTTACGAGATTCGATTGCCGAAGAAAGAGACTACGCTTTTGGCATTGTATGTCTCAATAAAACAATGTAAAGCGAATGCAAGATGTACCTGCCGACATCTTAATTCGGCACACGAAGGAGTGAATTGGCAACGTTCTGCGAGGAGGCGGTCTTGTTTTTCCTACGGTTTTCGAGGCGAATACGGGAATAGTCCGAGGGATTTGCAGTGTTCGCGAGGTGATGTCTATGCATCATTTATGAGAAACAGTTGCATAAAGCGTTGACATTGCCGGAATGATTTTGAGGCCACGGCGAAAGATGTGCGCGTGAAAAATTGTAAAGACGTATATGCAGGTCTGAAGCGTTCCCGCCCTACCGGATAGGTGGCGCCAGTTTTTGCAGGAGATCAGGAGTCAAACACAAATGTGTGCATCTGCCTTTACACCTCTATTTTCTGCGGATGCCGGCCGCTTAGAAGTTGGTAGACACGTTCTCAATATATTCCCTCTGGAACTGAATGCACTAAACTCTTTTCGGCGACTATGGAAAAAAACAAATGTCTTGCGCGACTTTTCGTTAATTTTTTTTCTCACGAAACTGCATTAGGTTTACAATATGATGCGATACATGACAATGAAGCTAAATAAGTGGCTTTTCGAACGATGCAAACGCCAAAGCACGGATTTATATTCAAACACAAAATTTAAGTCATCAGACGCAATTTTTTTCTAAAATAAATGGTCCGAATTGGGTATGTATGGCTATCTCGCGAAAGAAAAAAAAAAAAATGCCTAAGAAAATTAAAAATATACGAAAGGTTCCCCATTTTGACAACGAAAAGCTCCGCAAAACCCAATTCTAGCTCAAAAGGATTTTGAGCTACCGAAAAACTAATGTCTCGATGTGGTGAAGCACAGGTGGGTCGTCGGAACTGAAATATGATGCCGGAGTCTTATCCATGACGACGACTCGCGGTAGGTTTCATGCACGGCTTAAAAATCGCCGTCCCACTGAAATAGAAAGAGGAGCACAGAAACGAAAACTGTAGTCTTTAAACCATTGAGTTATTATAATATACGCTAGAGGTTCAACTGGCGCTAGTGTGCTTTTGCAAATTGAAGCAGACAGCAAACAGTTCGAAATTGACTTCCGGTAATGCATTTCTACGGAAAAAAGCGAGTGCAATTCCTCTCTGCGCTCGATCATAAGAGCAAATATCGCGTATAATTCATACCCACTAGGCACATTAGAACATTTCCCAGTCACGCAGATGAAATAATTGGTCAGTTACGGCGTTTTTATTTTAAAATCGTGGCATGAAAAACGGTGCTAAAACCGCTTCGTACATGTATTTATGTGCACTGTCGGACACTGTTAGCGCGAACACGGCGCCGGCGCTTTCCAGCATGGGGGTATACGTGCCAAACGAACGAAGGACATGTGGAAAACCAAGAGAGACTGCAAGAACTACGCAGTAACACTGGATAAGCAACTCCTTGTGCTTGCAGACGATCAAAATAAATTGAAAGTCACGTAATATAGTCCGATTTGCAATAAATAAGTACTGCTTTATTCTTTCTGCTCATGAATATATGCGAATATGCTTGTTCTGTGTTCAAATCATCACCCGCACGCTCCAAATCTTTGCAAATAGGGGGAAGCCAGAGGACAGGTGCGCGATAAAAACTGCCCTACGTAGGAAATAATAAGAAAACATACCTTTCGTAGCCCACATGCTTTATTCTTTACGTTTCAAATGTTTTTTTTAACCACTCGTTAAGATGCACAACGGGGTCATTCTCATATAGTGAGAGGACAGGCGTATTAGCAATATATAAGCACCAACTGAACGCTGGCGAACTTTGAACACAGTCTAGATTCCTTTCGATCGTTATTTTCATTAGAATCGTCGCTCGTTTCTACATACCTGCCATAGAACAGAGGTTTGGGCCTGAAATATAGCGAAGTTTAACATCGTTCAGTGGTAAAGGAAAAATGCTGTAACTAAAGCACTTACAGTTTCACATATTAATAAAGGTACGCACTATCCGGTACAACCGAAATAAAAGTTATTCATGTTATTTTCCAGCAACGAGACAAAATTCACGCGAGTTTTCCCATAGGAATACACAGGAAGACTGGAAAAGTAGACTGCATGCTGTCTGCTTCAATTTGCAACCTGAAGTCCCGTAGACACTAGCGCCAGCTGAGCTTCTAGCGTTTCTTATAATAACTCTATGCTTTAAACTACCTATGAGGAACCGCAGCAAGCATGGGAGCTCCGCAGCAGTTTTGAAGTGGGCCTCCGTCCTATGTACAATCCGTTGGAAGTCATGTCATGAATGAGTACAGCCCGACCTGACCAACCCACTGATAATCACCCATTCAGGGACACGAAAAAAAAAAAAACACCTTGTGGGATGCCGCTTCGCAGTAATTGACGAGCTGGAAGCAGTTATCCAGGTGGGGTTGTGATGCACTACCAAAAAGTGGTTCCAACAGGGCATGAAAAGGCTGCCATGCTGGCGGCGCGAGTGCCTTCAGCTTCGGGGGAATATATAGAGAATGTCGTAGACACATCTACCGACCTCTAAATTACCAATATCTGAAGCAAGAAAAAAAAAAAAAAAAAGAATGCGTGATATAGGTTTGCGTGGGCGGAGTACCGAGTATTAATTTGGACCATCTAGGGATCTTTTTGATGTGCAGTCAAAATCTTGGCTACACAGGCATCATCTCCGCATTAAGCCTCCGTCAGATTATGGGAAAAATAAAAAGTAAATCAGTATGGTACGCCCCTTTGTAGGTTCAGCCACCCAGAGTAACAGAGGTCCGAGGATCAATAGACCGATCTCACCAGCGAGTTTGACTATGCCGCCGCTGTCACAATGCATCGAGGGAACTTTAGTCTTTATGCACGGGCAACAACTTCGCTGGAGCTCTGCTCGTGCGAGCACGGAATGACACGAGCCTTCTCGTGCACTCCTGCCTGCCTCCTCCGAACTAAACTTATGGCTGCCTCACGCATGCGCCGAAAGCTTAGTGAGATCAGTCTATTACATCCATAGACCAGTGTCCAAAATCCTAGCCCCCAGCGATAAACATGGGAAATACTAATAATCTCAAATGCAGGCTCCTGTGAAGAGAGGTGCTGTGCATAAAACAAGATTTTTGCTTCTCACAGCACTCTTGGCATCGGTGTTATTCTTCAAGCTTCGTGGCTATGCATTTTTGACGTTCCTGCCCTGTGATACGTGCAAAGGTTTAAAAAAAAAAAAAAAGTGTTACAAAAAGCACAGCCCCCTGCTGTGTCATGCCATTGGCATAAACAAACATGGCGGCACCCATGGCGGCACCAGAGCATGGCGGCACCAGAGCAGACACTGGTCTATACATCATTTAACCTAGTCTAGATACAGCCAACACAGCAAGCTGATGGGACCAATCAAACAAGATCAAAAGTGCACCAACATGGTGTTCCGTCATGTTTCTGTATGTGTACTACCATTGCTGAACCAATTGTGTGCAGGGAAGAGCAAGTGATTTGCGCTTTTGATGCCGTTCGATGGGTACCATAAGCTTGTAGCATCGGCTGTATTCGAACTTGAGGTAAAAGGAAGTATAGCCTGATTGCATACTACCATTATTTTGGAATTTGAGATCCCCATATGCCAGCATTACAAGTGTACTTTGTCTCGCTAAATCTATATCCTCCCTATGTCATTTGTGAATTGCAGTATCCTTTCTGAAATTGGAGTTTAACGAAAACTTTTAATGAAAATTGTTCATTATAGCATACCTCAGATGCTGGTACCATTATTACAAGCGTACCTTGCTTCACTAAGTTCATATTCTCAGTGATCGGTTCTACTTGATTGCAGTTTACTTTTTTTGCATTTGGGAAATGTAAATGTGGTTGATGTTTCCTCTAAACAGCCATCCTTTTTATATTTTCAGCCCCGATGGGAATTGCCAATGGGCGGAAGTGTCGTACACTACACCTTTGAGCCGGAAGATTGAGGTGCCATCAGGGAGGTTGACTTGTCTAATCTAGAACTTGTGAATAAATATAGAACACCAATGCAAAATTCTAAAATGGTCAGTGTCTTAGTTTGGAAGAAGAGAGACAATGGAGGTGTGAAACAAGTTATTCCATGAAGTTTTTGTCGAGAGTTCCTGAAATGACACTTTGATGACGGTGAACTTTGGCAATGTTTAAACTGGAGGCACCCTTCCATAAGTTTCCCATTTAAGCCATTCAATGTATGCAAGCTGCTAGGGCTGTGTCAGCATAAGCTTAATAGTTCCAACAAAACATTGTCCATATTCCACATATTTTCCGCGCAAGCTTTTGAGAGAAAAATTATCTCGGCTCGTTTTGGTCGTCGCTAACGTGTATATGTATCTTGCACATAGGATGATATAGCGTCGCGCAGCATGGTCACAATGTCCTATACCGCCAAATTTAACGGTATAAAACTTCCATGTTGCTTTTCTTTAAAGGGGCCCCGCAATCTTATTTGTCTACCTTTTTTGCGGTTTCCACATCTCTTGCGGTTTGGGCAACCCAGCGGGCACGGAGGGAGTAAATAAATATTGGTGCGTCATTTTTAACCTAACGATGCGGAAACCTTCTCCTTGTGACTAGTCCGAACTGCTAAAAGCTTTTTCTTTTTAATTAGAAATACAAAATATAAGTGGCGCAAACCATTTCAATTATTTATGAAAGTAGTTTTCGTTCAGTATTTTAGATGACAAAAGAAACAATTGCAGTTTAGAAAGTATGGAAACAAGAAACAACGTGCAATGACCCATCGAGCTACCTGCCACCAAGCAGTGGAAAAGGTGGCGCAGGCGTCCCCCGCATGGTTCCGAAGCGCGCTTGCTTCGGCATCTTGGAGGCCATGCTGCGCTGATCCTAGCAGAAGATGCACGACGCCGGCGGCACAATTTGCAAAAAGCGAAAGTACAAATGTCTTCTTGCAAAAAGCGAAAGTACAAATGTCTCCTTGCAAGAGCACAGGAAACGTGCCCGAAACTTGAGCGCCGTCGAGTTGGGGCAGAGATGCTTCGCCAGCGCGCTCCAGACGCTTACGAGTCTGTTGAGACGCGGCAGAGGTGAAAACTTATTCATGCGAGCATCCCAAATTCAACAGTTCTGCCCCACTCCCAGACAGCACTCTCTCCTCGGCCTCACCTCCTTTCCCCGTCTTCCCCTCCGCTCCCCACATTCCTCAGTCACCGCGGTCTGCGGGCGACTGGAATTCCCCGATGCGGGAAAAGGGGGGAAAGATTCGGTTAGGCTGGCTAGGCCAGGTCCGTCAAGCAGTCGCGCGTATGTGTGGCGCGATATGATCACATGTCCTCGTACGGTAATACTACTGAGCTCTGCACTTCTATCGAGGATTTGGAACTCCAACTCCGACAGACCTGGTAAGTTCATGCCGGTGAGCGCAGTGGAGGGCTGAAGCAAACAACGAGTCGTTGACGTGCACGTGGCTCAGGGAAGCAGCCATCAAAGTAAGCTGCAGCCGACTGGCCAGTTGCTTCGCTTCTACAATTGGCCACCCAAGCTAGGACGAGGGATGTCATGGAGGTTATTTTTGTGCTTGTTTTTGTAATTTTAATGTGCCTATAACTTCTAATATAAAGCCAATTTTGAGGAAAGTTTTACCAAGTTACTACGTTCAGTGCGCTCAGGTTCAGTGAAAATTAAAAACCAGTAAAAAAAGTCGTTGCAGGTCCCCTTTAAAGAGCAATTTGTTAAATAAAGCACCAATGAAAATCTTCCTCGCTGTACTAGTGTCTATATGGTAAAGCCTGAATCTTTAAATTAAATTTCAAGATGCACTAGCAAAGGAAGTAATTAAAGAGCTTCCAATGCAAGCACCCTCTCTCTCTTAATGACTCCGTGTCACTGTACCTTACGAGTTTCCAAACAGTTTTTAGGAACCAAGATGTTCCCCAGGGTACACACAGGAGTCCTCAGAGCCCCTGAATTTCTTCAACCACCCCTGTCCCTAAGTAAAGTGTTTTTACAGTTTACACACTATTTTAGCAAAGCTGAGCCCCCGTTCAGGCACAATAACGAGTCAAATACACTCTGTGCGGAGCGCAAGTTCGTCTGCTTCTTTTTTGCAGGGGTTGTGGTGTGTCAGAACACAGAACTCCGATTGGTTCTGATCAAAGGATAGTAGGTAGACCTCAAAGCAAGCCGCCTTGGGGTCTACCCACTATCCTTCAATCAGAGCCAATCGGAGTTTGGTGTCCTGGCGTCACCACAACCCCTGCAAAAAAGAAGCAGACAAACTTGCACCTCGCCAGCTGCACGCTGTGCAGTGGAAGCCACGGGCAGGAGGTAGAGGAAAGTCGCTTCTGTACGAATTTTGAGGAATGGGCTAATCTCCGAGAGGGACAAAAGCGACCTCTGGGATACACAAGAGGATCTGGGTATCTGGGTGAGAGGGAAGTTCCCCTTTTCCCTTCTACTGATTGGGTTACAATCTCGCTCCAGTATGCTCGGTTAATGGTGCAAGCAACCAGCGAGATAGGGTGTGATGGGTGCATCATTGGCTGGAACATCCGTAGGCCACTGCACTCTTTCCTTACATCCACACAAAAACCACGAGAGATTACTTGATATAGAAGATTTTGAAAATTCTTGCTCTACCCTACGATCTTTCCAAAAGACCCTAGCGAAAGTGCCGAACCAGTCGGCGCGCGAAACTCGCGAAAAATCAAAAGCACTTCCTTTCTCGCTGCAGGAAACGGATCAACCCCCTCGTTTTAATTACTTAGAAAGAAAGAAATGAATTCGAAGGAACCAGGAAGTAGATAACCTTCGTTCTCCGACCCAGCGGACTTTTTTTTTCCGTCGTCGTGCTTTCTTTCAAGAAATCCTTTTCCGTCCGGGCTCGTTCGCGGTGGGAGAGACGCTTCGGCGTCCAGAGGCATTTCAAAGCGTCGCAGCGCGATAGACTGTGAGCTTCCGCGATGACGACAGATGCCAATCGGGTTGCAGACGACCGAGAACGATGCCTTCCGAGTAGTTTTCGTGTTGCTTTGGTTTTGGGTTTCAGGGTCACGCCTCCGCCTTCACCGCGGCGTTGACGGCGGCGGCTTCAGGGGGCGAGGGAATGTCGTTGGTCGCATTGATCTGGTTCGAGCAGGCCTCTCCGGCGGCCCCCTCCGACGGCTGCATGCACTTCCACAGGCCGTACGTCTTGCCCACTGTTGTCTGCCAGAGCCTCAGTGTCCCGTCCTCGCTTCCGCTCGCGTAGAGCTCGCCGTCGGGCGAGAAGCGCACGCAGTGCACCGGCCCAAAGTGCCCCTTGAACGATTCTGAAATGAAAAAACGACCAATCAACGCTAGCCACGTCTGTTTCCCTCGTGCAGCAGAATGTCTCTATACGGTGACCAAGTTGACCCAAACATGTCCCTTTGCACAAAAGGGAGAAGTTAAAACAAAAAAAAAAATCTTAATTTGTTAGGCGTTAATGTGAACAAATGCTTGGAACAAACCAGACATCTGACCATTTTGTTTTGACCGCTTCCTTTTTTTTTTTTGTTCCAAAGCACATGAAAGTGCATCTCCCAGCACGAGCTCCTGACATTGTAATCAACTATTTTTGTTTGTTATCATTTTGTAATCAATTACTATTTTTTTTTTCTCCCGAGAGAGCACATGCAGTGGGCATTGAATGCTAAAAAAATCTCTCGGTATAGAGTGGCTGATTAACACCTTGGCGCAGCTCCGTGATAATGCCTCCGAGCACAGTGAACCCAGGTTCGATTCCCGTGCGGGCAACGGGCAATCTTTTCTAAGGATTTGGCAACATCGACGACGGATACCCCACTATGTCAACCACAACTACAGCATCAACAACTACAATGTCAACAATGGACATCGTTTCCAGCAGTGGGAAAAGTCTAGAACGGCTGTCACTGTAAAAAGTTGGGAGGTCCCCTCCAGAGAAGGCAATGCAGCCATTGCTACGTCTAAAACGAGGACGGCAGGGATATTCTCCAGTTGTCATTCCTCTGGTGCGAGCTTCCTGCCTTCGCTAGTGCTTTGCCGTCTGGTGAACCTCGAGCGTGGGTGTGCAGTCAAGGCATGATGGAAGGCACTGGAAAGAGACGTCCCGCTGTTCTCATTGTATCGGTGACTACAGCTGCATCTGTCTTTTGCACTCAAAAAGCTTTTTCTCAAAAAGCTTTTTTTTTTCTCTTCATTTTACCATTTTATTAAATTTTTGTACGTGTTTCAATGTTTTGAGAAATTAGCCGTCCAGATAGGACACGTCACAACAAGCACTCTGCCCCCCCCCCCCCCCCCCCCCCTTCTTTCTCCCCAAAATAATTTAATATTTATTTATTGTTGGCAAAGCACGAGAAAAGGAGTCCACGTGATGCAACAAGAAAAGGTGTGTACCATTTTGCCAGGCACATGGACTCTTGCATGAAACTCAAATTTCTAGAATACATTTTCTTTAATATGCAGTTCCCTCTCTTCAATCTTTGAGGGCGACATCTGGGGATAATTTCCCATTATTTGGTTGGGAATCCTCGTGGGCAGAGGCAGCGTTCCTGACAACGGCCAGGTGAAGCTCGGGTAATACCTTCAAATACATTCCCAAGAAATTCCCAAGGTAATTCTAGTCGAGAGTTTTGAACGTTCACTGCAGCACTGTATGAGGCACGCACGGGCACTATGGTCAAGCAAAACCTACGCAGAAGGCTCTGGATAAAAAGCACACGGAATCGGTGGCGCAAATTATCGGCAACCGCGCACTGGAGCCATTCACTGTCGCACCCCTCGTGAGCACAGGAGGTGAGCAAACCCATAGCCTCATTTTTCAATTATTTTCTCCCGAAATGAAAAAGGAAACCGAAGGCAATGGGCACGCTCCACCCTCACAGGATACATTTTTCTTTGTGTTCACCAAGTCTGTTCCGTAGCCTCTTACCCAGTTCCGCTCCAGTCTCGTATTCAAACTTGTACATCTTGAAGTCTTCTCCACCACACACAAAGACGGACTTGTCTGGGAGCAGGGAGGCAGAGTTCACCTGGTTGGGCACCTTGAACTCCTTCACCTTCTCGAATCTGCCAGCAGGGCCATCAGTCACAGTAAACCATCAGTCACAGTTCTGAGGTTATGCCTAGTTTCTCTCCATTGCACACGCTGCATGAAAATACTAAAACCATAATGTAAAGAATCGGGCGACTCCACAAATGTACAGACGAGTCTAGTCAAACCAAGTTTGGATGTTTTACAACCTTTAAAGGGGCCCTGTAATCATATTTAAGCGTCTACCTTTTTTGCGGTTTCCACGTCTCTTGGGGTTTGGGCAAGCCAGCGGGCACGGAGACAGTAACTAAATGTCAGTGCTTCATATTTTAACCGGACGACGCGGAAACCTCCTCCACCGACGAGGGCGACCCGCGGTACCGAAAGCGCGCAAAATTTGACGTCTTTGGTCTTGGGCTTACTACTGGTCAGAGCCGCAAGAAGCTTCTTTTTAGTCGAAATACAAAATACAAGTGGCGCGAACCGTTTCAATTATTTATACAAGTAGTTTTTGTTCAGTATTTTAGATCAAAAAAGAAACGAACGCAGTTTATAAAGTACAAAAAGAAGATATGACCCGTCGACATACCCGCCACCAAGCGGTGGAAAAGGCGGCGCATACTAGAAAGGAGTAGTAAGATTAGGGGCCGACACGAAAAGGTCCCGGATGTACGCGGCGGCACTGCGGTCGTACGGGCAGGAGGATCCAACCGGCTCCGAGCGTTCCGGAGGCCTTCGGAGAGAAGCTTTGTCTTGCGGTTTGGCCGTTTCGCGGTATGGCGGCGCGAAGTAACTCCCATTCTGAATTGATCTTTACTCCGTGTTTGCTGTCGTTTGTGGCCAATGAAGTGTCATGCCGAATTAGTGTTTAATCGCGCAGCAAATACAATGAGAGCCGCTCTGGCTGCCCGCTGCATACAGCCTATCCACAACACGCTTTAGTGGCGCCCTCTCGCGCCCTCGACAGGGAGTGCGGCAGCCGTGAGCGCTCGATGAGCTCACTACTTCTCCTCTAGTTCACGGCAGCTCTCAAGCAACCAAGGACGTCATGAGGGAGGTTATTTTTTGCTTGTTTTTGTAATTTTAATTTGCCTATAACTTTTAAAATAAAGGGAATTTCGAGAAAAGAATATTTTCACTAAGTTACTACGCTGAGTGCGCTCAGGTTCGCTGCAAAATAAAAATTGTAAAAAAGTCATTGCAGGGCCCCTTTAAGGTGCCTTTCCTCACAACCACCACAATGGCTCGATTGACGGTCCTATTGTCATAGCTACCCAATGAATTAATTCGGAAGAGACGGAGTCTGCAACGATTCATCAGTTCTCATACACAGAAGTCCAACTGCACTGAGATTATGTCAGATTTTCCGGTTAACACGCAGCTCTGTCATTAACCCCCCCCCCCCCCCCCCCCTCCCTCTTTTGTTCCTTCCTCAATTTACACAGGAAAAGGTAAAAGCCCGAAAAAGTGCAACCCTGACGGCTCTACCGAACCCACTTCCTCGGGGAAGTGGGTTTGCGCGCTCTGCCATCGGCAGAGCGCGCAAAGGGAGAGTGTCACGAGATGAGAGTGCGTGTCATTAGAGCGTGCATCATGAGTGCTGAACAATAGCTGCAGTCACTAAGGCCTTTCCCAGTGGCAGAACATTCAAGTATCGAATCCCTTTCTGTAGTAACTGGGTTGTTATAGAAAATTAACTGTTACGCGACAGCCAGCACTGCACAATATGAGAGTACAGCTTCATATTTCGTCATCAATCATAGGAACGAACAATGATTTCCAGCGCGTTCCAAATTTAACGTTTTCCCAACATTTGCCAGAAGTAAATGTGATGATGATGTAACACCTGCACGCACGGTATACTCCTGTAGACCGCATTTTTGTTTCTGGGGGACAAAAGTGAGAAGCAGAATTATCTCAAGGACGAAAGTAGTGACCAATTTCAAAAAGAGCACTCTACGAGCGGCAGTGATGACGGCTGCGCAGCAACATATTGAGTAAGGGTAGATAACCTGAACAAAATAAATGATATTAACTGGTGTTATTGCAGACCGCTGCGTTCAATATGCTTGTGCCACTTTGCCCAGCTTAATTCATCGCACAAGGGTGCTTTCATCTCGATTCACAGCACTTTTAATTCAATCGAATTATTATTTTATCTATGAGTTAGTCGTCACTTGAACAATAAATCAATTATATCTTGATCAATTGTATACGTTACTGCGCTCTACGGTAGCTTTACTGCATCGTTGTGTCAACGTCTTCATGTATTTTGCCGTCAATTTAACGAGACAAACACTTTGAATTCTAGCGCGTTCCAAAGCTGTCTGTGTGCCTTTCTCTGCTTCTGTCAAAAGGGGTGGCGAGCTTTTTCCTCGCTAGCTAGTTTTGCAGCGAGTATTACTCAAGGGAGCTTTCCTCCGTTGAGCTTCTTTCGTGCCTTTTGAACACACAGTGTCATTTTTTTGGCTTCCATTAGCCCGCAGTATCGATCATTCCCAAGGCGCGCATATGCGCACTCGTGACGCACACTCTCATGTCGCGGCGTTCCTCTGTCGTGCGCTCTGGTGTCGTGGCGCTCTCCCGTCGGCGCTCTAGTGTTTTGCGCTCTTGTGTTATACAGCCTTGAGACTGACGCTCCATCTCGAAAATTTTGTGTAAACAGACATGCAGGAGCGACCGCATAGTTTCAGGAAGTGCCGTCCTTGCCTGGAAGTCGGATTACGCATTTGCATTTGAGTGTGTCACTGGTGCATAACATTCCCTCATAGCCCCTTATTACGAGTGACCACAATTGGCACAATCTATGGGGCCCGATCGAGAAAATTAAATGCATTTTTCTGGTCGCAATAATAAACTATGCGTCGCAGAAAGCTGAAACTCTGTGAAAATGTGGGCCAAAAGACGAGATAACAAAAATTCTCAGTGAGCAACACCTATCTAAAGCCTGATATTCATTGAGCCAAGAAAAAAAAAATGATATTGTGGGCACCTGCAGCATTAATTGCAATGAAAAATACTTGTCAGCGAGAAAGACAATTTTGTTTTCTTTTGCCTGACAAGTCTTTTTCACACACACAAAAAAAGAAAATGCTACAAACACCCACAATGTCATTTCTTGGTTTAATAAACATCAGGTTTTGTGGACCCCAGCACACAGAGACATTTTGTTTTCCTCTCGTGTGTTTTGATCCAGGTAGTAATGTCATGTTCTCAAGCTTACGCATTTTGTCACCACCTCCAAGCGTCGCATTCTCGCAGAGTTTCGACTTTCTGCTATGCATAGTTTACTTTTATGGGCCGAAAAACTGTGTCTCATTTTCTCTGTCGAACTCCGTATATCAGTTAGCCCTAAAACTCTCCGTGTATGTTTATAACGAGACCGAAGGTTTTGCAGCATTGGCGAAATCAAATCTATACACTGTCATCTAGGAGAAATGGTCTCTTACGGCATTGTCAAATGCCGTAAGAGACCGTGAAACGTGCTCAAGCACACTCATATGCAAACGTGTGAACCAGCCCTAGGCTCTTGTACGCCCCGCGACACCGTAAGTGCGAACAAGCTACAACCAATTTTTCCTCGTTTTCTTTCAAAATTGAAACGCCGTCATCAAAACTCTTGGCGTATGTTGAAAGAGCTCATAGGGGGCACCGAGTTGAGCGGTGAAAGTTTGATTTTCGTCGACGCTTTAACCGAGCAACGTGCGAAAAAGCAATGTTGCCTCGTTCCCGCAGTCCGTTCCCACGCCCACAGCTTGGGCGATGCTTCCTGAGGAATTCGCGAGTTTGAGGCGTGGGAAGGGTGAGGATCTGCACTCACGTCTCCGTGCTCCAGGTGCTGACGGTGTGTCCGTGGGTGACGAGCAGCATGCTCCCGTCAACGGTGATCTCCAGGTCGCTCGGCGCGCTCGACAGTTCCAGCTTTGCCACTTCCGAGCCACTCACATAGTCCCAGAACCTTGAACAAAAAAAAGATTGCCTATTTCAAACGTTCCGTCGAACGCGATGAGGGTGCGATGGCACTAACACGCGGTTCGTAGCCACACCGCCGCGGTGCACGAAACGCATCTCGGACTGGAGCGTTTGCCGCATCTAAAGAAGTGGTCCCCCTATTTTTGGCAGACGACGTGACAAAAGTGTCGTGCCGTCGCCCCACCAGGACTTGCCACTGGAAATGGAGAGCTCCCTGGTTCGATACCAGGACCAGGCGGATTTTTTCGGTCGCGCACCAGTCACTTAGCTGTGTTTGGAGATTTCTGTTCGTCCTTCGTCCCCCTTGTTCTTTTTCTCCAGGGATTATCATAGTCATATGTATAGTTGCTTTTGTCTTTGGAACGCAAGCAGAACAGACACACACCGGACAGTCTTGTCATCCGACGCCGAGACAATGCGCTTGTCGTCAAAAAGGAACAGCACTTTCTTGATGGCAGACGTGTGACCCTTGAGCATCGTCGGAGCTGCAACAATACATGGTGAGCGAGTTAAGTCTGGTCCCATGCCCAAATTAAGTCAAGCGGAGCATATCATATAACCAATAGTGTACATTCAACTAACATGCAGTTCTGAAGCGATGTTCTGGATGAAAACGACCGATAAGTCTAGAACACTTGGCAAGCACAGAGTGTGGTAGGTCGTGCGAAAACACATTGTTTTCAGCTGAGGGCTTTAGGGAACAACTTCAATCAGACAAGACATTTGAACTCCTCTCTGACACTGGAGTTCTGCACGAAGCAAAGTAATCACTCGGTGTGCCAAGGCAGCACAGGCGTAGGCAGTCGTCCTAGCAAGACTGAAGATCTTGCCAGCACGAACTGTCGCCTTACTTCGACGCAAGCGTCGGTCCACGACCACATCAAACAATTTCAGACAAATCAATCATTTCACTCGCAAAAATATTTCAGCGTTTCCATGGGAATGATGCAAACTACGCGGATTTAAGCCTCACCTGCATCTTCTTTGTTGATGTCGAAGACCCTGATTGTCTTGTCATTGCTGCCGGTCAAGAGCCTAACGCCCTCGGCATCGAAGTCAACGCATCGCACGATGTGGGGGTGGGTGAAGGTGTGCAGCTCTTCGCCAGCCACGGCATTCCACAGCTGTGAGACATTCGGCCGAGTCAAGATCGAGCGAGCCACTTGCTTCCGGTGTTGAAAGCGAACAAAAAATTGCTCGGCTCAAACATGCCGTCAAATGCAAACGAAGGAATGATAGCACTTGATGAAGGTGTTTAACAAGCAGCACTTTCTATCGGAATTTAGCACTACAGTGTCACGTCACACTGTTATATCACGTAACACTGGGATGCCATCTGACACTGTGACATCAGTAACACAGTGACATCACTAACACTGTGACGTCATCTGACACCATCTGACCCCTCTCCTATGGCCTCGCTACATTGCAATTAACGCCAACAGGAGCAAGCACGGTCCATGCGAAGTTTTTACAAAAAGAGTTTGCCTTAAAAAGGAACGTCCGACCTTTGCAGTGAAGTCGGCGGCGCCGGTGGCGGCCCTGGAAGCGTCCTTGTTGAGTGCCACGCCCCACACCGCCCCCTTGTGACCGACAAAAGTGCCGATCCAGTCCCCGGTGTCGCCCTGCCTGAGCATAGGCTTGCCATCTGGAAACACGACCACCAGATTCGCTCTTGTCACACAGACGGCGCATAGCATTGCTCCCTCTTACGATGCGACCACAACCTGTAACCGCATTGGCTGTCCGTATACCTCCCAGACGTATGCGAAACGACAATCAACCGTCTTGACATGCTAAAAAGTAGGAGCTGACATTTATAACGACATCAGCTGTGTTCACTCGAGAAACATGAACAAAGCAGATTGCACTGCATCATGGCAACTGTCAATAGGATTCCAGCGAGAGGAAGTAGGCATAAAGTGGCCACGACGTCTTAAAGCCTGTCACGGTTGCACATTTTCTCTCGCATTTGACACAACAGTCTCTGCAGATATAAAAGATCGCCTTGGAGCGCGTAGCCGTGACAACGGCTCGAAGATGCTTCATCAGTGCACACAAAACTTGTTTGGCTGCACCGTCGATTTTTGCTCCCCTCGGAGCGATGTAGAACTGTCTGCAATATGCGCTGCACCTTCCACCAGCCACTGTTTCAGCCGCGCACCACTGAGACCTCCGAGAAACGATTGTCTGGGGACGCTTCGAAAGTATGAGCTGCCATTTGTAAGGATATCAGCCGAGTTCACTCTCAAATCACCAAGAAAATGTGGGCTCTCATCCGTGAACAAGGTCATGACGGTTACCATGAGGTGGCGCGACTGGCAAAGGAGCTTGCACTGTGCTATGCTAAATGTACAGGGGTCTCCAGCAAAAGGAAGCAGGTGGAAAGCTTTAGGACACTGCCTTGACACCACACTAATGTGAAGCCTGTTATAGTTAGCAATTTTTCTTTTCGTAATCGCAAATTACTGCGACCTTACCATACGGCGACAGCCTTAATAGAATGAGCTCTACGCCTTGTGTCCAAGCTCATTTGGTTCAATGAAGCCCTGGGACCTGAAACCCCTCGGGCAAATGTTTTCTGGACCAAAATTTGCTGCGAACTGATTTCTGTCCACAAGCATTCATGATGGAGAACTGAGGAAAAACAAAATGGACGGTCCTCCCAGTGTTTGCACAAAACCTGGGGGGGCTTTGTTCAACAAATGTTTAGTTTCTCCTATAAAGAAACGGAAGTGATGGAACTGACAATATCGCATCTGATTGGTTAGAGGCTCAAATGACGAAAGTTAACATTTGTCGAACATAGCACCCCCTCCCGTTTTTAAATTGAGGTAGTGAGTAACAATTCATTCAATTAAGATGCCCACTAGCCGTTTTATTTATTTGCCCACTCGTGAGAGGCAAAGCTCGGCTGATACTCCATTTGTTGCTTATCCACTATTGATTGATTGCTCGATAATACCTAAAAAGGTTGATTTGCTGAGCCTTGGCAGTGACACAAGGTTGGAGAACATGTAAAATAATTTTGAAACCAGCTAATCCACAGAATTTTTATACGGTTACGTGATAAGAGCTCCTATAATACTACTTATAATAGTGACATTTCTTGGCACCAAGCAAGCGCCCAAGTTATCTGAAAACGCTAGTTTTCAAGAAGCACGTAACGCAGACACCCTTGTTCTGAGAAAAACCTGGATTTTCATAATTTTTTTATATATACACACACACGCACAAAAAAGAACACACACAAAAAAAAAAGAAAATGAAGTTGCAGTTGTGCGACAAACGATGCCGCAGAAAGAGCATAGGGGCGCTACCAAAGACGAAATGCGCCGGTACCTACACTTCACGGACTAAGGAACGTCGACTTCCTCAATAACCAAAATAAACAAAACAGTCGGGAGAATATGTTCATGCGCCGTACCGGCGATATGACACGAAGACTAAAACCAAGAGCCGCTGCGCCATCCCCGATTCGAGTGACGAAAGCACATGGGAAGGCCGGCGGCAGCCCCGCTACTGCGTGGTTGGGGGCGAACTACAGTGAAATGTAGTGAACGGTACGCGAAGAAGCGTTCACCTTTGCAGGCCGATATTGAGTAGTAAGATCCCGTCGGCGATAACTTGGAGAAACAGACGTCTACGACGGGTCGAGTGTGGCCGGAGCAAGTCAGCGGCGTTTGCCTCAGACCAGCCATTTTTCGAATACGACCGGAAGTGAGTCGATGGCAGTCGGCTTCCGGCGAGCGACGCACGCCGCTGACGTCTCTGACGCCGGTCGTCCCTAGATGGCGGGACGGTCGCTTGGGGTATTTTGCGTTGCGTGTGTTCTCGCGCGAATCTTTAAATCTAGTGTTGCATAGTTGCACTGCTCGAACCCATTTCAATAAAATGACCGAGCAAAAAAAAAAAAAAAAAAAAATTGCTGCCGGATTTTGCAGTCGCATTTTCATCTCCTGTCCGCCTGAGGACTTACGAGCTGGCGCTTATGATATTCTCGTGATACCTAGATAGAGTATGTCACGTACGCGCTCAAAATTATGAATACTGGCGCTTTTAAAGGGATACTTCAACGAAATGCGAAATGTACCCGTCGTGTTTAGAAATAAGCTGAATATGATCCACAATATCTGTAATTGACAATCACACGTTTGTATTTTGAGCCTGATGGCTGTATTTTTGGTTATAAACAGGCCACTCAGTTAAGCGCTTGGAGAGCAGCCAGCGGAGAGCATGTGATATCCGCCACAATCGTGACGTAGATTGTCTCGAGACCAGCAAAGCTGCGACGAAGATGATGTCGAGAAGATGTCCTAGCCGTTCCAGCCTCCGAAGCGGCCGAAGCACGCCAGCGATCGGGCCACCGCATCTAACCCCAAAGCTGTTTTTGTACGAATTTTGAATGACGGGTTAATCTTCTGTTCTTGTAGAGAGACAATAGCGACTTCTGGAACACACGAAAGAGAGCCCTGGCCCGCAGGGTGGCTCGTTCCGCTTATTATAAGCGGATTCGCGCTTTCCAGTCGCTTGTCGCGTTTTTGTTTGGGCTTATTCGCGTTTTTCCGGTAAATATTGTTATTTTAGTGCTCGTCGTGCTCACTGGCAGCGCGTTTGTCGTCAAAAACGCGAAAAAAAGCATGACCGTTTGGCGCCGCGGTTAAGTGGCGCACGCTATCGTCCGTCACAAAGTACAAAACTATTACTATCCATTCACGGCTCTGAGTCGCGGTCGTTGTCGACTTTCCTAGGTTGGGGTGCCCACAACAGCTGTGAAATGAGCGACCATCGAGTCCAGGCTCCCAGGCAGAAAAAAGCGTCTTTATGTCGTGAGCCCTCCGCACGTGTCTCCTGCCAGCCACGTCGCACGTGGGTCACTCAACAATCACCACAGTCGTCGCGTCTAGTTGCCATTGTATTTTGCGCAAAGTGGCTTCGAAGTCGTCAAAGTATGGCAAAAGATATTGTAAAGAGTGGGAAAAGGAAACACAGCTGAAGGACTGGCTACGACCAGTCACCGGAGACGATAAAAAAGCAACGAGCAAGTACTGCAAGTGCGAGATCCGCGCTCATCATGCCGACCTAGTTCAGTACATTGCAACAGAAAAACACGTGAGGAACTCTCGGCTACTTTCCAGTGCACGTTTGACTACCATGGGCTTCACCAAGTCGTCGCCTCCAGGAACGATACCAGAACTGGAGCTCAAGCTGGCATGTTACTCAGCGTGCCATGCCACTATCCGCTCTGTGGATCATCTCGGCGAGCTGATACAGCCGTCCACTGCGTGCGAGGTAAAGCTGCACCGAACAAAATGCGGAGCACTTAATAAAGTTATTGCCCCTTGCCTGTTTGAGGACCTCGTCAAGGACATAGGTGTCTCGCAGTACTCATTGTTGATTGATAAAAGCACGGACGTATCAACACAAAAACCGGTCGCTGTCGTAGCTTGATACTTCAGCACATCACTAAAGAAAGTGGTGTCCACGTTCCTGGGACTATTCACGCTCGAGGGTCAAAGCGCCCAACAGATTGCACAAGGCCTTCTGGACTTCTTGACCAGTGTCGGTCAGGATTTCATGAGGTGCATTGGAATTGGAACGGACGGCTGCAATGTTATGGTTGGGAAAAACAATTCTGTGTACACGCATTTGCGCCGAAAGAACGAGAACCTCGTGCTTGCCAAGGGCGTATGTCACTCATTTCAGCAATAGAGAGTTTTAGAACACGGGGCCCCGAAGCTTGGGGCCTCCAAAGAAATAGGGGCTCACCACTGCGCATGCGCAGAACCCAAACTCTGTTAGGGGCTTTGGGTTGGCGCTTGGGCCCCTGGGCCGGTTTGCTCATCTTGCGGCTGCGGTCGCGGCTGCGGCCAAGAGGGATTTTTACGTCACGTGACCAGCTCCATGGGGACGGCGGGGAGATCCACATCGCTTCATGCAGAAAAGCCTAATTTCGCCCGGAGAAACTGATTGCAGGGACTTTCAACTGGAGTCCAATTGACCGCCCCTTTATACTGTAGGAGCGGCATTTAAAGTTACGGCTAGGGAGAGTAAATAGGAGCCAAAATAAAGAAAAAAACCACATGAGATAAAAGCAGTAGCAGTATATTTATATACCTCCGCCGGCGCCCGCGTTTCGCGCCTTCTGCTATGGTCCAGAGGTTAAAACGCCGATACTTGTCGATGAAAATAATCCCTGGAGAAGGGGAACAAGAGGGACAAAGGACAAACACAAATCTCCAAACACAGCTAACACTTGTCGTCGCGGCGTGAAAGTTTCTGGTTCAAATCGCGCTAGGGACTTTTTTTTTTTTTTGTCTATTTTGCGCGTGTCTTACTTTTTAACTGTGGTGCTTTTTAGGAAATTATCCACTTGCACTACTGCGCCTTACACGGTTTTTACTGTTAGTCCCACCTGTTCAATCGAAACACCGGGAAGAAAAAAAAGATCAACGCAAGTTAACGCGCTAATACAATCATTTCATAATGTTCATTAAAAGGAAACCAAGGTAAGAGCATCGGTATGGCTTTCACACAAACGGAGCCGAAACAAGCATCCTTTCCCCAGCAACTAAAATTTTATCTGTTTTTAAATAACGCTCTTGCTACGATTCCTTTTAATAACAAGAGACGCCTATTTAGGACTAAAAAACTGCAGTTGTGACAATAAAAAAAAATAATAAAAAAACAAGCAAAAAGAAAAAGAAAAAAAAAAAGACTAGCAGCTGTGGATACATTGATTGAGCGAAATCCTACAGGCAAGGCAACAAATCAAACGTCTCAGAAAGTAGTAAAACCGAAATAAAAGAGATCATACTTTTACTTGCATGAAATGTGATAAAAAGTATATTTATACTCTTTACATTTTGTTGTGGCAATCGTTTTGTAATATTAACACATTACTTGTTAAATTTTAGTTAGAATCGCAGACGATCACGACCGAACGCAAAAATGAATCAGGCGTCGACATCGCAGACCCTCTTTCTAATGCAAACACCTAAAATGACTTTGGATCAAGAAATGGAATTAACTAGACCTTGAACTATGCAGAGAAGGCTGGCGGCGCGCATGCACAGCTGTGGCGTTTTCTTCGGGGATACCGTAGCGGAGGAGAAAAACGATCAACTACAACTCCACCTGCAACAAAACTAGTTTCGAGGATTTCGCGGATCAAACATTGCGCGCATCCGGAAGGAGATGGAAGAAACGCTTTTGAACGAAGCAACAATAGACACACAAGCAGATTTGGGGAAGGCCAATCTAGGTCACTGCAGCTCAATAAAGCCGTCAAAATCTAGATCCTTTGGCCGAAGGAGTGCCGGTGCTCGCCTAAAAACGTGTTCGCGCATTTTCACACAGGAACCTCCTAAACCAGCGATTTCCGAAAATGGCTCATTGCGATCGTATACCAAGCATTGGCGTTACAATCTTCCGCTGACGGAACCACTTTAGCTCCAGAAAAATGACGGGCTCTGCGTCTAGAATCAAGATGACGTCACCGACACTCTTCTAGCACCAAACGTGACATGCCATATATATATATATATATATATATATATATATATATATATATATATATATATATATATATATATATATATATATATATATATAGAAAGAGAGAGAGAGAGAGAGCTTGTGCCTTGTATTTTCTTTGGCGTTCGGTAGCTCGTCTGCAAGTTTGCAATCGGTTCAGCTTTGCCCTGGGGTCTGATGATCTTCCGTGGATTGTTCCGGCGGAAATGTTTTTCTAAGGTGGAAAAATGTATTTCAGATACTAAGCACAACATAGTAAGAAATGTAATTAAGATAGTGTAGCATTATGGTGCGTTTTCCGGGTGCTCCAATTTTTCTTCTCGGCGACTTCAATTTCCCATCTATATCATGGTCAAACGACGTTCCTTGTGTAAATGTACATTCTGAGGAATGTATTTCGTTTATTAACCTATGTCTAGATTTTAGCCTTTCACAACTTGTTCTCCATCCCACCAGAGTTACCCAGTCGACAGCCAATGTATTAGACCTCATTTTGACCAATCATCCTGAGTATGCAACTCCCATAACATATCTGCCCGAGATTAGTGATCACAAAGTGCTGCATTTTTCTCTAAAAGCGTCGGCAACGAGACCCACTTTTCAGCCAAAACAAATTCGTGATTACGGAAAGGCCAACTTTGAGCAAATTAATAATGACCTTGCCATTTTCTTGAACCAGTATCTAACAACTTCTTCGGGGCGTTCTGTCGAAGATAACTGGAATATCATAAAGTTGAAATTTATCTCTCTTATCAACAAGCATGTCCCACTAAGAAATATATTCGAAAATACCCAGTCACCATGGTTTACGAAAGCCCTAAAACGGTTATCAAATAAAAAAAAACGCTTATATCGTGCTGCGAAGTTTTCAACGTGTGGGCATCGCTGGGCTGCGTATCAGTTGTCTGCAGAAGTATATAAAAAGGCGATTGCAGATGCGAAATCAATTTTTTTTTCAAATACTCTCCCAAATATGTTAATAAATGACCCCAAAAGGTTTTGGAACACTGTCAGCAAGAAAGACACTTTTTCAATTTTACTCAAAACGTCAAGTAGTGATAGTGCCTCTAGTGATGACTGCGCTAATATACTAAATAATGTGTTTATTGAATCATTTTCCAATATTAGTAACATAAGCTACCCTTCAATTGTGTGTGCCGGTTATTTACCAATGGATGCTATTCTTGTTGACCCTATTGGTATAGTTAAGATTATAGATGGGCTGAAATTGTCTTCTTCTTCAGGAGTGGACGGCATTAATTCAAAATTTCTTAAAAGCACCAAGTTATATTCTTCAATTATTCTTGCTAAATTATTCGAACAGTCACTCCAAGAGGGTGACCTACCCTCCGACTGGAAGGTGGGGAAGGTGGTCCCTATTCCAAAAGCTGGTGACAAACATTCTCCTCATAACTATCGTCCCATTTCGTTAACCAGCATCCCATGTAAACTTCTCGAGCACATCATATTTTCCCATCTTGTAAACTTCCTAGAAATGAATAATTTTTTCACCACAGCTCAGCACGGATTTCGTAAATCATTGTCATGTGAAACTCAGCTTCTATCTTTCACTCACGACATTCATTCTCTCATTGACCAAGGCTCCCAGGTGGACTGCATCTTCTTGGATTTTGCAAAAGCTTTTGATAAAGTGTGTCATAAACTATTACTATTGAAACTTGCTAAACTTAACATTGACCCTAACGTTCTTGCATGGATTCATTCTTTTCTTACTAATCGTTCGCAATTTGTAACAGTCAATAATGAAAACTCTCCACTTGCGTCAGTAAACTCTGGTGTTCCCCAGGGGTCTGTTCTAGGCCCCTTACTATTCTTAATTTACATTAACGACCTACCAGTTAATATGTCATCATCCGTCTGTCTCTATGCCGATGATTGCGTAATATACCGTGAAATCCGAAGTAACCAAGACACGCTCACACTTCAGTCTGATATTAACTCTGTGTCTCGTTGGTGTGAGTTGTGGCTAATGAAACTAAACACTAGTAAATGTAAACACATGAGAGTAACCCGTCAGTTTAGTGAGAGTCCTTCTTACTACCTTGATGGCGACTCCTTGGAACAAGTGTCGTCATACAAGTATCTTGGTGTTAACTTAACTTCTAACCTTTCATGGAAACCCCATATAGAATATGTCACTAATCGTACTAACTGCATGCTGGGTTATTTAAAACGGAATTTTTCTTTAGCACCTGTTTCACTTAAATTGGTCCTCTATAAAACATTAATAAGACCTAAGCTTGAGTATGCAGCATCCATCTGGGATCCCGATCATATTACCCTCATCACTGCTTTAGAATCCATTCAAAATAGATCAGCTCGTTTCATTCTATCGAACTATCACCGCACCGCCAGTGTCTCGTCAATGAAGAATAATTTATCTTTACCATCTCTTTCACTTCGCCGTAAAATTTCACGCTTATGCCTTTTTCATAAAATTTATTTTCATAATCCCCTATTACGCGACCATTTCATAACTCCCCCCTATTACATCTCGCCTCGTGTAGATCACCAGCACAAAGTTGGAGTCCCAAGCTCATTAACCAACACATTTCATTCATCTTTTCTACCACGCACAGCTCAAGAATGGAACCACCTTCCCGGTTTAATTGCTGCCATAACAGACTCTAATCTTTTTCGAAGTGCCATAAATAACCATTTTTGCGCTGATTTCTGACCTGTTTGTTCACTTTTTATTTGTTTTAGTATTGCTGAATTGTTATATTTTCCCTGCCTACGCTCTCCCCCTCTGTAATGCCTTCGGGCCCTGAGGGTACAATAAATAAATAAATAAATAAATACTCCAGACGAAATGTATCACAAGATACCAAAATTCAGCCAAACGTATTTGAAATACATTATCTTGAGTAGACCTTTTAGGATAGGCACAAGTCTGTATACAAAGAATACTTGCTTACCCGTAGTGCCCCAGGCATTTGCCCAGAAGAAAACTTTTCAGTCACCAGTACTGGACTCAAGCGCATATCCGCTAAATAGGTGCGTCTCCTTGTCCTGACGCAACACATTGACCTGACGGAGCGCATTGCCCTTTTTGAGACATTGACAGTGTCCTTCATTGCGCAGCAGATATTCACCTCGACGTTGGTGGTACCAAGTGATTCTGGAATATGAGCGCTTATAATCAATGTGAGAGTGAGAATGACAGGGTGTTTCTTTCGAACGGCTGCAGCCTCCAGCACGCGCCCGCTGCCTTCCATTGTGCTTTTGCTGCAGGAGCTCGTTTGAGGTGCATTAGACGCCGAAGCAATGTTGAACGTAAGAAGCTCTCGCAAGAGACGCTGAGGGACTTTTCTGCCGTACACACCCCATCGTAGACTATTTGTGACGAGCGCCACCGAAGGCGTCCCTGTGTGTGTGCTATGTATGTGGGGCAGACTATACGGTTAACCGAGGCACAATATTTTTAGTAGTCTGTTTAGTTAGGTGCGCCCGCGTGCAGACACAATATACCCTTTTTAAAATTCCATCAATTAAGCTACAATGGCGGTCGCCATTTCTTGGTCACGAAGCGTGTGATTCGATCCGAGACGACCCCGAACGCTGACGCAACATTCGTTTTGAGTGCAAGCTGAACCGAGTGGACGCCGAACTCAGATGGCTGACTCATATTGGCTATGCCCTTTGTAACGGGTGGTAGCTTGCGCCACCTAGCCTCGTATCCAATACTAGGTCAGGGTCGGTGACCGAACAATGGCTGACTCGGTAAAATGGCGCGCTTACCTCAGTCTGTTAAGAGTCGGCTTTCCCAGAGTTTGATACCAACAAACGCCGTGGACACGTATACAATACGCTGGTATACTTTGTCTTCCTTGATTGACAACTGTGCGGTGCGTATACGTCTATGCATAAAGCGCTCGCGATCCACCAAATATTTGATTTCAGCGAAGCAGTCATTTTTGAGAGCCGCTTTATTTTCCCTACCAGGGCGCCGGGTCGTCGTCGACCGTGCGTGTTCTCATAGTTGCCAGCGCATGCCCTGGGTTACTCTTGGACATCTCCGCAATTCTTTTCGCAGTCCTCGATGGTCGCGAACTTCTGGCAGTTGTGGGGTCCTGTCTCCGACGGGATGGTCTCACATTCCATGGTGGTCGGGTTGTACTGCGCAGTCGCTGTCACGATGTGGTTCGGGTCGTTCTCACCCGGATCGGTGCAAGCTGTTGGACAGGAAAATAATAAAAAAAATTAATATTCGAAGTTTGTTTGTTCTTTTTCCGTTTCCGGGGTATTTGATGAAATTTTCACGGCTATAGGATACGACGGGGAATAATCTTTTGACTTACTCTCGAAACACAACATATATTTCCTCTTTCCCTCTCTCTGTCTCTTTCGTTTGGCTAATCAGTATGGACCATAATTACTGGCGAATATTTTTAATTGAAGTAGTTTTATGTGCCGTCAATGCTAAATTCTAACTTGCTGCTTGGAAGTTGGAAGTTTCCGTTGTGAATAAGTAATTTAAAGAGAGCAGTGTTTTTGTTAACATAAAGATCAAACTAGAAATGCAAAAAAAAAAAAAAAAATTCTACTTATTTGAAAAGGCCACGCGACTGATCGAACTGAATTTTTCACCAATTGTCGCCACTAATCATATTGTCTCGTCTCAGACCATGAAAAGAAGATTTCATGTACAGTTTACTATCATTAAGCAGCTAGCAAGTTTTTTCTTCTTTGAACACCGATCGGTTGTCTGTTTTTGCGCACGGCTTTACAAATTATTAATCAAATCTGAGTATCCGTGAATTTAAGTAGGTTTTATATAGCATAGAAAGCAAGTAAAACGGATGATGCAAGCGAAAAAATACAAAAGTACACAAAAACAAAAACAGACAAGATGAAAAGAAACAACAAAAGAACACAATAAAAAGACAATACAACAGCACGTGACCTTTTTTTGTCTCTCTCAGTGTGAATTTGTATTTAGAGTACTGAATGATGTCGATTCTAAATAAGCAAACAAAGAAATAGAAGGTGTCGGGCCCGCCGAAAGACGGCGAGCTTTTACTAGGCGAGCGTTACGAACATTGAGAGATCGCCGATTTGGTGCGAGACGTTGCATGGAAAATTACAGTATACGCGGACGCTCCGCTCATGCTAGCAAGCAGGCAAACAGAAATGCAACGCCGAGAATCGCAGAAGGGGGATCCCAACAGCTCAGGTTTTTGGAGGATTTTCTGCGATCAACAAGCATGCTCTATATTTCTCAGAAAAGCCTGGACCAAACATATAAATCGACATTAGCGACGCCAATGTACCCCAGCCTTATGGTACACACATCTGTCTATGAGCAAAGTAATACCAGCGGCTTTTAAAGGCGGCTTTTAAAGGCGGAACAAAACATTTGGCTACAGCATAATCTGATAAGACCATTGTCCAGCAAGACCTGCGTCACTCACTAAAAAAAAAAAATTGATTAAGGGGCCGAAGAAACCTAAAGTGGATAAAATATATAACCATTCGCAGATTATAAAGCACGGCAAATGGCGTGTCCCGAACTTTTATTATCGATCCTCTACCAATAAGTTTGAGAAATTGGCGTACAAGAACGCATTAAAAAATTTGAAGCAAGAAGCGTGATTTTATTAAGAGATGTCCCGCGTTTCTATAATGTTCTGTTGCCATAGAATGATGAAGACCATCTACTTACTTTGAGGATAGGCGCAAACATGCTGAGGACCGGCGGTCACAGTTTCTGAAACCAAGTAGAACAAGCGGGTTTTATAATGAAATTGACTACCACAATTTTCACAATATAAAATTCACATTCGCATGCCTGATATGTTGCACCTTCATTCCGTGGTTTGTACCATCTTTCTGGAGGCTCTTACTTAAATGGCAATTCGCGCAGTTGAGTTTGACTTCGTTTAACTACCATGCACATTGTGAAAAGATACGACGGCGAGTTAACGAATGCAACCAAGTGATGCAACGATTAGCTGCCATGCTAAACCCAAGTCGTATCCTGACTGAAGCACGAACAATGTGGTTAAATTCAGTTAAAATCAGCTGTGAGAATAGGCGTAGAAACGACATTCTTCTGAGCCACACCAAAACACCCTTCTTTTATTCATCAGATATATTGCAAGAAGTCTCGGTATAGTCAGGAGCTTTATTAAAGACGCATACAAATATAAACCTTCAAGGAAGAACATGGCGTCCTCCAGTTGATTCAATGCCGTATGCTACCATTGCGTTCCTAAGAAACCTGCAGCATCACAGTAGTCGGTATAGTATTCGTCTGAAATTTAAATACCCGAGCTCCACTGACCAACACTCAGTAGATTCTGCATCCAAGAAATCGCACTATCAAGTTGATGAGTATAGGCGGCATAACAAATGTTCCATGGGAAACTTTACAAGGCAGTGAAACTGCAGAACAATCTAAAGCAATGTGTACATCATAGGACTCGAAAATACTCACTGCAAATCAGGACGAAGCAGATTGCCAGCAGGACTACCACCTTGGAAGCGCTCACAAAGTTAGCTGCCATTATTTCTGCTTGTTGTACGACTGTTGAAGAAGACCACAGATGACGATGACTACGGAGGTAAGCCGTGTCCTTTTATACGGTTTTCCTACCGTGCAATCTCTACTCCGCGTGATGTTGAGCAGGAAACGAGAGATTGATCGTGTTAATAAAAATAAGTTTGACTGGAACGTTCGAACTCTGTCATGCACATGGTTCATAGTAACAGTAGGAACCATGCACGATTCCTGGAAGAGTAGGAACAGTTTTCTCGGTAAACGCTTCTTATGTTCGGAAACATGTAATGAAGTGGATAATTATAAAAAAAAAATGATATTCTCAGAATCAACGATGAAAAGTTTAATCAGCGTGTACGATGGCTTTTTCCTAGAAAGATTTCTACGAAAAAAAAAAAAAACCTGCCATATGTCAAACATATATGTCACGCCGGAAAACGGGGACAGCGCCTGTTGATGCAACTTTTGTGTACCATTCAGTATTTTGCCGTTCTACCACCAACGTACGATGAGTGATTTGAAAGGTTGCGTCTATGGAGCCATTAAATGAGCATCGCCTAGAGTATCGGGACTCCGTTTCCCGACATTGTTGCGGGCGCCGCCATTTTGGCTCGTATGCAGAGCAGACGCAACTGCCGATCGTCATGGTTCAAAAGTGCGACTTCCCCAGCACTATATTCGGCGTTAGGAAGGTCATGTAATATTGCTTTGCTCTGTCGCGAACTGTTTTAACATTTGTGGAGGGCGGAAAAGCGTTTCCTGTGATTTCAGATAGAGCTTCAAATAACTGGCAACCATGATTTTAAGACACAATATGGCCAAGCGTCGTTACTCTGAAGCGTAGCTTATTTAGTGGCACTAGTTGCGTCCGGATTACACATGGCCACCGATGGAGGAAAAACCTGGGACTTACGGTCCCTGACATCTTAAGAAACGCTGGGCTACCTATGTTCACAGTTCTTTGCTTCGTGATTGGTTCTCCGTCGTTTTCATTGACAACGTGGTGCGGTCTCATTGGCTGGGGGGCGATAATGAGATGCTCGGGACTCACGTACCCAGCGCCACCTACAGGGTGCGGCCGTAATTGGACCAACGCACATTTCACATGCAAAATTCGAATAACAACCGTCCGTCCTAACATTCGGCCATTTGGGTTCCAGAAGCGAAAAGTCAACAGAACTCACTTTATTAAAAAAAAAAAAAAGCTAATCTTAATTAACATGTCAAAAAAAAAAAATTATTACCTTGAGGGTCTCTCGATCTTTGAAAATTTTTCGACCGTCGAAGCCAGGGGCCGCTCCAAAATGTTTGGCTAAGGGACCGGTTTTGGGGATCTGTCGCAGTGTTGAGGGCCGTAAAATAAATAAGTAAATACAGATGAGGAACTGGTAAATAAATAACACTAGATAAGCTTATCAATACAAAATTAAAAGTAGAGCAAATATTTAAAAGAAGGCTGCATGTGTGCATATACTGACCGAGCATAAATCAAAGCTCAATGAAACTTTGGCATATACTCACACAAGGTACAAGACTAACGAAAATGGCAGAACTGATGGTAAGAATATGCAATAGTTAGGACACAGGACACCAAGCACAATATGCTGATAACGTGGTTATCAGCATATTGTGCTTGGTGTACAGTTAGATACGTTGTTAGATATCAAAAGGGACTGCGAATGGTGATGGTGGTGACGACAATATTCAAAGGTTAACATGGCGAAGGGACCCCCGTTAAGATAGGCCATGGACCGATCCGAAGACCTCTGTGGGCTGCATTCGGCCCACGGGCCGGGGTTCGCAGACCCCTGGCTAAACCGTAAGACTGCTTCTTAAATTAAATGCATACGGTGTGCGAGGTGTCGCCTCGACGATGATCGAGAATTTTCTCAAAAATCGTTATCAATGCGTCGTAATAGACAGACAGCGCCCCAACCTGAAGAAATGGACGTCAGATGAGTGTCGCAGGGAAGCATCCTTGGACCCCTTCGTTTTAAAGGGACCATGAAATGATTTTAAAATCGAGTTTCATCCACCGCACGTCGTAAAAGGTGTGAAAAGAAACACAAAAACACAAAAATAGGGAGCCCAAAAAAATCATTTGCTATAGAACTTTTAAAAGAAAACTGGACTCTTTTGCGCCTTCCTTCCTTCGCCTGTTCACTACGATGCATACGCAGAATCGGTGCACGTCAGCCGAATCCACATCGCCTATTGGGTAAGAGCCTACCTCACCAGCACCGCGATCGTAAACAATAAATAGCCGGCGAATGTTTCCTAAAAGTTTTGTTAAATAATATTCAGATCCACATTTTGTAGCATAATTAGAGATGTGTGGCGAAAATTGCCAAATTTGATAATGCTGAGAGCCAAGCGCCATCTATCGTGTGGTAAACGAAGCAACTACTGCGCGTGCGCAGTAGGGCAGGGCCGCCAGTTACTTGGGTGACGGCGACCGACGAACATTTATTTTCTTTGTTTTCCTTCCCCTCAAAACTCTGACTGACTGAACGTTTATTTTTCTACGTGTTCTTCCCGCGCGTGCCGACTTCAAGCAGCAAAAAAACAGTACTTAAAACAGACCACGACGAACAAGAACGCTGGATTCACCGACTCCGACGAAGCGTATAGGCCTAGCAGGCATTCCGACTCGGCGCTGCGTTGCTTCGTCGCAAGACCGTCTGCTATACGACCGGCTGGCGTGCTAAATGGAATATGCCCGCGCGACCCTTGTGGACCCTTCCCGTATTATAGTTTGATCACTGACCTCAATTCTAGATTAAGAGGTGAGGAGGTCAATCTCTTCCCCTTGTTTTCCGAGGCAGTGTTGACGAACACTCGTCGAAAAGGGACTCTCGTCGATTCTATCTTCTTGTTTTGTGTGATATAGAGCTGAAATAAACGCCGTATGGATTGCCTTCGTAACACGGTATGTACACTTTGTTATTGGTATGCCATTTTTATTCTGACAGACTGCACGTGTCGACCCCGGTCCAACCTTTCTTTGCCGAGTGTCGCGTCAGTATCGAGTTGCAATCGTAAAAGAACGGTCCCGAAGCGCTTACCAACAGCGCGAATACAATACTTCCATCAAGCGCGCGCGTCCGCTCCGAGTGTAAGCAGGTATTTACGTGGCTCTTGCTGACACTCGTAGTTCAAACGTATCTTTTTTAACGTCGGCTCGCTCCTGCATCTCCGAGGCCGCGAAAAACGCCATCTACGTCGCTTTGCAAACGACTGACACGGGCCGGCCCTTCTGCCAACAATGACGGGGTGGTGACAAGACTCGCTGCACTTCCCAACAGGCATACCGGCGTATGGGACTAGTCCCATGCTGTCGCTGTAGCGCAACATATCTCATTGAATTTCGCTCAGCTGCGATGCGGCGATGAGAGGCGCCGATTCAGGAAATACGTCGGTGACATCAGCGCAGTAAAACCTACCGGCGCACCCCAACTCGTTGCCGCTAACACTCCCATTCTCCTACTGCCGAGAGAACTTCCGGTTCCGGAAACGGTCTACGTCACGGCTTCTTTTGCGGTCAGTTGGAGAGAATGAAAAAGTCGATATTTCAATAATTTTTTGTGTAAAAGTTAATAAACCGAGACGAAAACGGATGCCTGTTCGGCATTCAGTGAACATTGACGGTTTAATGTAAAAGTTATCTGGAAAAAGTAAAAAGGTCATTTCATGGTCCCTTTAACTTATCCGTAAATGATATAGTAAATATAGACGTCCGCGCCGATTTTATAATATACGCAGACGACACCAGTTTGTTATTTTTTGGGGGAAGTTGTTGAAGAGATTGTGTGCACGGCGAATAACTTGCCACAGAAGATAAACGGTTGAATCATTTCAGACTTTTTAGTAATTAATGCCGATAAGACGAAGGCGGTTGGATTTCGTTCAAGAAATACACTTTGTTCATTTACAAATGCATTCTCTCGGAGGGTGCAATATTGATCTTGTGCCAAATGTGAAGGTTCTTGGTGTTATATTTAACAGCTGGGACGCGGAAGTGTAATGTACAATTATAGTGGTAAACGTGGGCATTGTGTATAAATGTCAACCTATATTTACCGATCTCAGTCATAATCCTTCCTTATAACTCCCCGTTTTACTCGGGCTATAATTACTGTTTTTGTTTTATAGGGAAACACGACGCCTACAAATATGTATGCACCCCTTACATGTTTTGCAAAAAAATAAAAAAAAATAAAAAAAGAAAAGTCATACGAATTATGTTTAAGCAGAATTCAATACTCAGACGCTATCATGATTCGAAAATCTTGGCATAGTGGCCGTTACGGACCATTTTAATTAAAACCCATTTTAATTAAAAACCATTTTAATTAAACCATTAAACCAAATTTAATTAAACCATTAATTAAAAAAACCAAACAGATCATTTTAGTTAAAAAGTGCCCCGTGTTGTCCACATCTTCACTTGTCCCCGTTTCTTTGGCGCTCATTACCAGTCATGAACCAACAAGCCCAGCTAAACATTTTGTTGTAATTAAAAACCTTTTACGTATCAGATGTCTGCAAGTCAAAATCCGCTTGTTTTTGTTTTTATCGCGAATATGAAGCAAAGAGTGTCTGCATATGCAAACAGTTGTGTCGACATTGCGTCAACGCCTCGATCAAGGAAAGACTATGGCTTCCAGGTGCTGCAGTTTTTGCTACCAAATGTATTATTAAACAGTTTGCAGATATATGGAATAGACCTCATAAGTTTTAGCAGAAAAGACATTAGATATTTCTTACTCTAGTGTTTGACCTTGTCTGTATAAGTCCATTCTCGTGTAGGAAAATGGTTTGTGTCTTTATTTTTTTTGTATAATGATGCCGTAAAATTTATTACTATGTATACTCTTTGTTTTCCTTGGTGCTAGTGGAGAGGAATCTATGTCAAGACACAACTATCTGCTTTTCTTTTTCAGTCCCCGTATCCACTGGAGACATACAATAAAGTTGAAAGTTGAAAGTCGTATCGCAAGCAGTTTTTGTCTATATTTTTCTCGG